GTAATAATATGCATACATGGATATTGGATCTACGCCATCGGTCACGCCTCTTTGACGGCCGCCGTCGTCTGGAATGACGCTGTTACTGATATGACTTGTAAACAGTGATCGACAATTATATATTTAGGAGGGCAAAAGATAAAAAAAATGTACAAATTTGTTCCTTCATTTTTGTCAGTTGAATTTCATAAATCATTATCACCGCCCATTGTCATGGTTTGACGGTCACTTTAAATCATGTTTTATATATATTTGCTAAACGCGGTCATGTAACGACATGATATTTAATCCCGGACCAAAAAAGACGTGTATTCATGTTTACATCTATGAAAAGCAGAACGCTCAAAGTTATAAAAGCTTTGTTGTACAATATGCATGTAATAATTATTGTTCACGATTCTTGCATGGATTGTCAATTATACAAGTTGTATCATTTCCCAAATATTGAATATAGTTTCTGGCATTGAAACGGCATTCGTTAATTGGCCATGCAACACAAGTGCAAATAATATTTAAAATCACAATGTCCAGCCAGCTCTTTGGAAACTTCTGCGAGCTAATCTTATTCGACAATAGTCGAGTATTTTCATTTCATCCGAATGCCAATTAATTATATATATATATATAATTAATTAATTAGTTTGGTATTAACAGTTGTTTACAATTTTTTTGTTACAATGGAATATCAATGGATTTAAAGGAGATTTATAATTATTTGTAGTTTCTTGGCATAGTGCCTTGATACAAGTAAACGGTTTAATAATTTACCTGCAATAGTGGCGTGATATAAAACTGACGCCAGTGCAGGCTGGATGGACGTAAGACGTGTAAGCTAAAAGGTAAGAAACGGTATCAAATCAATGAGTTTATCATATTTTCGCAATCAGGACTTCCATTTAATTTGCGAACCAATCGAAACACTTCCTAAATAATGCAACTGAAAACACTAGCTTGATTTGTTTTAATTACTTGACACCAAGTAATGGGAAACTGTCCTAACATGTCTATGGCTTAGTACATCGACCAGTACACATCTCATTTAATTTAATTTGCTACATGCAGATGTGTCGAGCATTGTGGATAATCTGGATAGAAAGATAAATCGGTAAGACAGAGCACACATAACGACTAGCGACATGTTCTGCCTATTAAGATGTTTCATTTGTATGATATAAACGCAATGTATGACAAGTTGACAAGTAGTCGTCAAGGTCAGTTCCCTATTGGACCCGTAGCTGTCGTAGTGTCGCCATAAAAGTTGCTCCGAGAATCGTTACGTGTAGAACAGCCTTTATTTATTTCCAACGGGGTCGCAGGTCTCAAATGTTTGTATACTCTTTCAGAGGGTAAACTTTGTAATACGTCGAACAGAATTTCTGGTGACGTGTTAATGTCTTCCCCTTTGGTATCCTGATGGCATAACACTAAGAATGAGAGGATGGTAAGATGACATATGATCTTCAATTCAACCCAACCTACCTTGCTATTGCCTGTGCTGTCAGAGTTGAATCAGATTGATTTCGTGACTTTGGTGTGTTTATTTAAGGACGACGCGCCGCCAATTATTGTTTGAGAATAGGGCATATGCATAGATTTGCGCAATAATTGGCGAGGCTATTAATTATGCGAACATCCCATTAAGTCCTTTATTTCGTGCAGTGGGATACTTATAGCATAGCTTGAGTTGAACGAAATGTGCTATGTGATTTGCGCGTTGTGGTCGCTCGTATTGCAGATGTATGTCACATGCGAACATAGGCATATTGGTAAATTTTCAAATGACAGGAAACTTTAACCAATATTGGCGGGGTGGTCGTTTGAACTAGCTTCATACACGTGGACAAACATTGAATGTTGACGAGTATGATAGTGCATTAACCTCAAGCTTTGTTCTGTTATTGTCCGATCCACAATGAGAATGCAATGTTTTAAAAACTGGCAGCACACGGTATAGCACAATGAATGGAACGAAGAATGTTTCATCAACAGTTGCATCAGCCACAGCTCGTTTTGTTTGACGGTGATTTGAAATAATATACCAGAAGAACAAGGAGAACATGGTGTGCCATTAGGGCCAAAATTGAAAAACACCAATAAATCAAATAATAAATAAATAAATCAAAGAATAAATAAATAAATAAATAAATAAATAAATAAATAAATCAAATAATAAATCAAAGAATAAAAGACTAAATTGAAGAAAAGAACGATAAATTAAAAAAATAGAAAAATAAATAAAACAATAAAACAATAAATAAAAAAAGTGAAAGAATAAATAGAAACAAAGCAC